AGAGAGAGAGAGAGAGAGAGAGAGAGAGAGAGAGAGAGAGAGAGAGAGAGAGAGAGGCTGGGAAGGGGAGGGAGGGAGGGAGGAAGGGAGAGAGTACCAGACATCAGCCATGTTATCATCACTTGCCAATGCCAATGCCCGCTCGAAGCAACTGAGCGTCATGTCATACTGAATGAAGAGAAGGATACATAATAAATGTCACAGAAAACATTTCATCCACACAAACATTCGATATCACAAAAACATTTCCATCCGCACAAACATGAGGTTAATGGAGCAAATATGGAAAAGAGAATAGATTCAATAGAACCGAAAAAGGTTAGTGCAGCAAATATGGAAAAAGTCAGACAATTCAAATGAGGAAACACACCAAGAGTTGCGTAGGCAGCACCTATATTTGTCTTTCGGATTCTTTCCACATGGCCCCATGTTACATCTTCGACGTCACACGGGCCCTACCAGACCCGACTTAGGGCCAGAGGGACACAGTAGGGCCTAAAGGCCCCACCTTGGGGTACTACAGGCCGTAAAGGCCTCATTTTGGACCGGATCCGACGGGCAGGCCCAAACGACATTACCGTTTGGGCCTGGCGGCGCTCTTGAGGCTGCCGCCCGCCGGTTGGGGCTGAACTGTCAATCTTGACGGTTCAGGGCACGGCCAGGCCTCGCAGCATAGAGGCCGGCCTCTGCCCCACCGGTACAAAAGTACCGGTCCAGCCTCACTTCGGCATCGAACCACCGGCACTCTAGCGGTGCGTTACAGTATAGCGCCAGAGTGCTAGCGCTATTCTGAGCGCAGGAGCACGAGGAGCAGCAGCGGCGACTGAGCAGATCGGCGGCCATAGCCGCCTGAGGTATCGGGAGCCGGGGGTTCTCTCCTCCCTCCCATCGCCAGTCCCCTCTCTCTCTCTCTCCTCCTCGACTCCCTTCTTCTTCTTCTTCTCCTTCTTCAGACTTCTTCTTCTTCTTCTTCAGACTTCTTCTTCTTCGGACTTCTTCTTCTTCTTCTTCAGACTTCTTCTTCTTCTTCTTCAGATTGGAGACTTCATACTAGTTGGACAGAGATCAGTATTGGACTTCGGTGGTAAGAGGCTGTGGTACTTACCGGATTCAAGACTTGGAGATTGTTGGGGTTGATGCTTGGCGGCATCACAGTTCGGACACCGTTTGCATTAAGACTCTGTATCTCCGACATTGGTGACTTATTGTCCTTGACATTTTGATCTTGTTTGATGACATTTTGGACTACCATATAGGTGACCCATCGGATTCTATCTCGGTGACCTTCGGTGCTGTCTACCTCCCCCACCTCCTTCGTCTCTCCTCCCACCTTTCATCTGTGTATGTGTGTACGGGGCCTGAGCATCGTCTATGCATGGCTCAGACCCCATCATCTCACGCTGGTATGTGTGTGGAGTGATATCTGTGTGAGTCAGTCTATGTGAGTCAGTCCGTTTATCAGACTTCCGCTGCATACATGCTCTTCCTATATTGGTTGATCTTTGGTTCTGCCCCATACTCGTTGATGCATTCACGAGTATGCAACAGTTTTGGTATCGGAGCAGACCATTTTACGGATCTGCTCACCAGGTAAGTCTGATTTAGGAATTAGATTGCTTCTTCAATCTTCCAAATCAGCTCTGTATTACTATCGAGTTCAAAGTTGCAATTTTTTTTTCTTTTTTCGGTATTCCGTTTATTTCGGCATTACCGTTTCAATTCAGTATTCGGACTTGTAATTCGGATTTCTGTTTTACTCCGGTATGCTGTTTAATTTGAGTTTCCGATAAATTGATACTAATCCGACATTCTGTTTAATTCGGATTTCTGATTATTGATTCGTGATTAGGTTGAAATCAGTACTCTGTTTAATTCGGCATTCTGATTTTCAATTCGGTTTCCGTTTTTATAAATCAGCATTCTGATTTTAGTCCTGTATTTCGTTTTCTAAATCGGCATTTCCGTTTTATTGCAGTATGGGAAATTAGGGTTACGAAAATGTTTTCGGTTTTCAATCAACTGGGGAAATTCGAACGTTTTGGAATCGTAAAACCGGAAATTCCGCGGAATCGCGGAAAATTAGGGTTGGACTCCGAAATTTTCGCGATTTTTTTTTTTTCTTTCCCTTGTTTGAGAAACTCCGAAAAACGGATTTAGGCCTTTAAAAATCGGATTTTGACGGTGAAAATTCCCGAAATTTCACGTTTCTTGAAAATTCGAGTGTTTTTCTCCGGATTTTTCCGAATTTTTTTTTGGCAAACTAATCCGAATCTGACCCTCAAAATTACAACTTCCGGGTAGTTCACTAATTAACGATGAACTCCCGGACTCAAAGATGATCTCAACGGCTACCGAATCTTGATACAATTCAAATTCGTTCATTATCATTATTGCAAATATTGTTTATTGATTATCATTAAGAAATCATTATTGCAAACATTGTTTTATTGATTATCATTAATTCGTTATTAATCATTAATTAAACATTATTGATTAAATAATTCGTTATTATTACGAATTTTGCGTTGTTTACGGGAAAATTTATTTTTTTTCTGTTTGATTAGGTGTCTAAAGTCCATCAGTGGGACAGGGACTGTATGCGAAGTGCTTGATTGTTCTACCCCTGTTCCCACTCTCCCTACCTTCCCCCGTAATCTGTGACCACCGGGATTTCTCAAGTACCACATCAGCGAGAACTGATGTTGATGGAACAGGACACCGGGGCACTGCCACGACGCAGTGCCAGGCTTGCAGTTCGTGCCCGTTCTGCGGTCCCTCCATGCACCAAGTATCAGCAACAGCGACTCAGCAGGCGGACGACTCCAGCAGCATCGAGTACAGCATTGACAGTACCGGTTCCCACCGGAGTTCTTCCCGCATGCCCGGTCCAAGGGGCCCATGAACCGCTGGCTGACTATCTTGGGCGGCTACAGGTATTCACAGATGCCGTAGCTGCCGCTAAGGCTCAGCAGGAGGCAGCAGAGGCAGAACGTCAGCGGCTGGCCGATGAGGCGGCAGCCCAAGCTCAGCAGACTGAGGCTGACGCAGCGGCACGAGACAGACGGAATGCCGCCAGCACGGAGTCCCTAATTCAAAATGAGAATCAGTGGACAACGCTACTCCAAGGCATGTTCTTTGTGCCTACGGACGCGCAGGCGGATCCGACACAGGCGGAGGCAGAGAGAAGTAACCTGGCTACAGTGATGTTGAGCGTGATGAGGGGGGTAATGTGGAACAACAAACTGCTGCAGGCACACCTGCGCACGAAACGACAGCAAAGACAAAAGCACCAGCAAGACATGGCCACTTTAACCGATGCCGTCCGTGCCGCAGCAACACAGCAGCAGCAACAGCAACAGCTGTTGAACTCCACTCTCGCGCGCATCAACAGCATCAAGGCTAAGGCCTCAGCAGTGCCAGGCTGCACGACAAATGCGACGAAGCAGCTCAACGAGCGCACGTCGTCACTATAATTGGCGAACTAGGTGATTTCACTAGTCCGGCCACGATCAGCAGCACGGTGGCCGCCATCAAGACGGACATCACCAAATTGCAGACAAGACCGGACGCCGCTACAAGGAACTACAAGATGCCGCACTTCACCATCAGCAAGTTCGACGACTACAACAAGACGGATGCCTTGACATGGTGGCAAAGTTTCCTCATGGAAGCATCATGCCGCACTGTCCCGGCTGATGACATGATGAAGGCGCTCTACTTACAACTGATTGGAGGAGCACAGGCATGGATGAACCATTTGGCGGCTACCAAGAAATGCACCATCGCTGAACTCCACACGCACATCATGTGGAAGGAGTTCGAGCAACTGTGGTTCACTCGATTCATGGTCTGCAACGTCGTGAAGGCGGCCATGAACGAGGTGTACACCTGCTCACAAGGAAGTATGCCAACTCGAGACTGGACAACCAAGTGGCAAAAGATAGTGACCACGCCAGGCTTCGACTTGAGTTTTCCTAACCAACGATCCGAGTTCTTCTCGCGATCATGCGCAGGATTGCGGTCGGCACTCGGTAATGAGTACGACTATACCACATTCCAGGCCATTCTGGATCGAGCGAACTTGGTCATCCAAACGGATGACAAGGCTGCAAACGAACGGCAGTCCCAACCGCATTATGTGGCTAAGCAGGCCTATCAACGACTGACACATAATAATCTCGTGATTTCTGAAGAAACAGTCGATCTCCACGCTGCAGCAGCATCCTCGAGTGATGGAGGAATTGTAGCAGCGCTCCCGCCGAAGCGTCCCAAGAGAGTTCGAAAGAACAAGGCGACACAACAGACGGCATCGACGGGAACTGGGCAGCAGCCATGGACGGCATACAAGATAACCAAGGAAATCTATGACCTTCGTCAAAAGTACGGATATTGCCTTTTGTTATGACCCGGACCAATTGCGAAGTACAAATTCACCAATAAAGCACAATGCTGCCCAATTGCAAAAGAAATGAATGAACTTGAGAGGATT